TGCCACTCAGAGCTCAAAGATTTTTTTTATTTTTATTTATTTTATTGGTTTAAGAAAAAAGTACACATAAATAATGTAACACACCGTTAAACCCTACTTGGGTTTGTCTCGATGCCATTCATTCCTTGCTACGAACAAACCAATACAAAACATTAAAAAAAATCTTATAAGTAGGTAGACATTGTTTTTATCTTTATTTGGAGGCATACATTTGTACAACAGTGAAGACGGCAAAGTATTTTATTATTCGACTAGACACTGAGCGAACCGTCAGGAAACCGGTTTGTTAACAAGTGTTAACGCCCCAAAAACAAATGTTAGTACATTAAGTAAAGAATAAATTTAATTTTAAATGTATATATTTTATAGTATATGTAGTATTTATAAATAATATGTATTATTACTATATGACTGCCACTGCGTCCGTCACCCTGAGACATAAGTTGATAAGTCTCATATGCCCGTAATTTCGAAAATGCTGACATTACTGCTTGGCCGCAGAAATAGGTAAGGTGGCAGTACTTCCCTGGACGAACTCTTTCAAAAGGAGTCCTACTGCCACTAAATAATATGTACTTACTTGTCTAGCTACATTATTATTGTATGGAACATCAAAGTTCTGTAAAGTTGCCAAAGACCTCCAATTAGGCGTATCCCCTACGTGCCAATCGGCGATGGCTGCACTATCAATCTCCCATTGATCGGCTTGACCCAACTCCTTTACAGTTTTCTGGAAAACACATTCCGCTATTGGTGAACGGCATGTATTTCCTGTTAGAACAATTTCAATATCAATCAATACGTCACAATTTTGAATGCGGTCAGATAATGGTTGTAAATGGTGAAAAATTTGAGACCAAATAATTATATTGGTATATTGTCATTGTTATGTACTATGCACTATTATTATTAGATGTACTTACCCAGGCACACGAAGAGAACCTTTTTCTTTTCGTCCGACATTATTTTCACAAGTAGGTTCGACCAAATTGTAAAACATTGTGAAATACTGCAATATTGCTCAAGAATAAATATATTATTGTTAGGCAAAACAGGTTTTTTTTTTTTTTTTAATTTATTAAGGCTTTGGCAAAGCCATCAGCCTAAACATGAAGTTTAATTATGTTTCTGCAAATATGGCCGCCACAAAGAGGATAGGCAATTTGAAGCGGCGTGTTTGGATTGACTCGGGATTCCTTAAAACGGGCCGATGCGGGTATTTTAGTTCGAGATTCGTATAATTTCGCGTTTTAATCTTCGATTAAGGCACAATAGCACTATCCTATTCCACTTTAAACTAGATTTCACAAAATAATTGAAAGTCAAAATAAAAACGACACTTTTCCCTCCAAAAGATCCAGAGCGAATCCACAGGTTTTAGGATCAAGAGCAGTGTTGCCAGACTTTTGCGAAGTTAATTCGCCAATTGATGTGTGTTAAGTAGCCGATATTCGCCTAAGCCTTAAAATCCCTAAAAATCAGGGAAAGCTATTCTATAATTCTACATTTCTACTTGCTGCCGGAGATTGGGGAATATGAACTCTCTGATTTCCCCAATTTCCCACACGTGAAACTACTCAAACCTCCAAATGAGTTGTTTTGCAATTCCATTCCCCAAAAATCCCCAATCAAGATTGTAATTCCCCGGACATTTTATTAAGTAGCCTAAAATCACCTTTTCCTATTTCAAACATAGCCTAAATATCGCCGAGTCGCCGATCACTTTTTTAGTCGCCGCACAAACCCTCGAAGTCGAAAATCGCCTAATCTGGCACCACCGATCAAGAGCACGTTAAGATTGACATTTAGGACCTAAATCCGACTCTATGCCGCTTACGATAAGTCTTTTATTTTGTTCCATCCTCTAAGCGATAAGTACGGTCCAAAGTATAAAGTGTCAAGCTTGATATGCTCTTGACTGTACAATAATTTTCTCTATGTTAAAGAGCGGTTACACACGGCGAATTTTAGCAGCGTCGCTAATCGTCTACGCGCAAGATTTTTAAGCAGCGATGCAAGTACGCGACTGCACCGATACAAACGCACGATTGCATCGATGCAATCGCCTTTAAATCGCAAGTGTAGTGATGCGATCGCGCGTTTGCATCGCTGTTAGAAGTCGCCGTGTGAAACTACTCTAAAATTCACCTTTTCCTCAATTTTCTTTCAGTATTACTTTACTTTTCTTTCTTTTAAAATGTATTACGGGTCATAGCTACTTTCTATGCTTATGCACATGCTTTCACAGCAGTTCAACAATGTTGTACTGTACAACATAGAAAATCTCAAAGAAACAGTCATTCATGGTCATTGATGATTTCTCCAAATAAAGACTCCTAAATTTGTTAAAAATAGCATAAAAAAATTAACTTTGCAAATTGTTATAGCCTGATTACGATAGTGATTTTGCTGTACACCCAATGATCTTTTAAACAACATGTATGTACATTACATGTACATTGTATACCTCTTATTACATATTTATTTTAGTTCAATTCCCGTAGAACATGGAAACTTCGATTGCACTTGCAACATTGATCTGGAGATCTCTTCATGTAAACAGTACTACACGCCCAGTAAATTAAACAACGAAGAAGAAATGTATTTCCATAATTGCAACAAATTTATATTTAATTTCATGGTTGTGGACTTAGATATGCTCTAAGGATGAGGATAAGTGAGACGTAAAACTAATAGTAAATAGCTTTACCTACACAACAGGGGGTCTACTCTCGATCTTCGTCCGACATCCGTCCGAAACAATTACTGTCAAATAAGTAATATTCGACAAAATTAAAAGACAAGTATCAAGTATGAAGCTTCATTCGCATCACGCGTCTTTTCATTTGGTCAAGTATTGCTTATTTGGCAGTAATTATTTCGGACGGATGTCGGATGGAGATCGAGAGTAGACCCCCGGAGTCTTGAATTCAGCATGTAATTTTCATAGATTTTATTGAGAGGTCAGCGCTATTAGATATATAGATAAATAAAACGTTTATTAAAGTAAATGGCTAAATGCTGTGTTTGTAGTGTAGGTGTAAACCTGCATTACATTCACAAACTAATAGGAGTTACTTTGAAATTTGAATTGAATGTGAAAAAAACCATATGACTAGAGCACGTTCGTTTTATTGTTAATACCGTAAATTAAGTATGGGCAATTTGAAAAAACACATCGTTTCGATTTTTACAAACAATATCAATATTTTATGGAAGGAAATATTAGTTATATCGATATTTTTCTCCAAATCCAGTAGTAACCTATAAAATATTCCCAAAACATACCTATTAAGTATGTTATGTATAAAATAAAATTTGGAAAACTAGACACAACGCTGAAGTTACAGAAAATTTTATTAGGAAAGATTAGGTAAAAAGTACGGTCGTAGTCACCTGCTGTAGGATATAGAGAGAAAAGAGTTACTACCATATTAAATGGGATACGATGCTCCGACTGACAGAGCTCCCCCGGGTCTGTTAAAATGAGAAAACTGATTTAAGATTTTTATTCAAATGTATAAAGTAAAAATTACAACTTGATATGAGTGACAGTTCTACGAGACGACAAAAATTTTATTTGAAAATTACTCAACGTTACACCGATCAGTAGTGTAATGGAACATCTTAGCTTTGACACCGTCAAGACTACCAAATGCTAGTATTTTTTAGATTTTGTATTAATTTATATATTTACGTAATCCACAAAACGACACTTAACAATTCATATAGCATGTTACGATTTATAGATATTTTTTCCCCAAGCCTACTGTAAGTAACGTTAGCACAAATGACTTGATTCATAATCTTAGAGAATGGAAAAAAATATTCCATAGTCTCTAATACGCGCTGACCACCATAATGGAGATATAGACGTCAGTGCTAATCATCGAGTATATACCAGAAATAGAGACGAAATAAGGGCCATATATTCCAGGTAACACATTAGCGCTACAGCTCTTATAAATGTCAACTCTCGTTTGCACTGAAATATAGACAGGCCAACTACTGACCTGTGTGTACGTCTCCGTATATTCAAAAAAATATTCTGCATTTATTGTAATAAAGATAATGTTTTTAACAATGCCGTGCTGTTCTATTCGGTGGTGAGAAAAACAGCAAACATCTAATCACAAAACAAACGGAATCACATTTCACCGGTAAGTAAATATTAAATATGTAATTTTGCAATTTTCGTCCATTATAGCAAAGCTTAAGTTAACTGGTCGTTTTGAAATGAAACAGTTGACGACACCCATTGACGTTTCCGTCTTCTATAAGCATTGACGACACCCGTCAATTGTTTCGAATTCGAGCTAGCCAATCGGAGCGCAGTTGTCATAGTAATGATATCGCAGAATAGTTTTCAAACAAATTAAATGACATTTTGTCTCTATTTCTAGCTATATACTCGTTGGTGCTAATTAATACGTTACCTACGTGCTTAAGATATAGCGTTAACAAAATATATGTTCAATATCGTTATAAAAATCGTTAGATAAAACGAACATACTCATATTGACAACGCGTCTGACATTTCTTCTGATCAATTGCTAGGGTTCTGTCTAGCGATGGAAAATCTTTTAAAAATTAAAATAAATTTTCATCATACTTTATAATAACAACAATAGCAATGGATCATGCAAAGAAATGAATTGAATTGCGTTTTTATATATACAATACAACCAATGAATAAAGCATCATAGATGACACTTTCTTTTTTGAGAACCACAAATATTTACAATTACAATAGCTACGAAACCTTTCTCATATTTAAAATCAAAACGCACTTGACTGTTATTTTGAAAAATACGTTTCTTGTTCTTTGTACTAATTTAGGGTATTTTTAATAAAATAATTACCTTGCAATGAAAGTATGAATACAATTAAAAAACGCAAATCCGATATGGAAGGTAGTAAATACGTTATAAACTGTTTTATTTAATTAAAATTGAAATTATTCTTGCTTGACGTTAATAATGTTTTTAATTCGATATATTCTAGATATAAACAAACCTAAAAGAGTAAAAAAAGAATGCAGCTATGGGGAAACGTGTTATAGAAAGAATCCGGCGCATTTTAGAGAGTACAGCCATCCACATTGTAAGTAAATTTCTGTTCTTGGATTTTTTTTTTATTGTAATAATTATTATGCTTATCTTAAATTTAAAAATTAGACAAAAGTATTTCTGACATTGTCTGTATCGTGTTATATAATGGAAATTAAGGCTTAACGGTACATTACCAACACTTGAGTTCAAAGTTGAAATTAATATGGTGAATAATTGACTTACAAATAAATGGACGACGGGTCTAATACAAAAACCACGAAAAAAATGTCCCAAGTCAACCTATTCGAAATTTAAATTGTAATGTCATCGCAGTATTGCGCTGTCAGTAGAACAAATGAAGACTAAAGCGGAGTTTGGCGCTCTGTATACGATTTTAGCGCCTTACAAGTGCGGACACTTTTTAGCGCGGACCCGACGTCCATATAATTGTAAGTCAATGTGGTGAATAGACTAATAGGTTAGATATGAAAGGTATGATAATAATATTAATAATTTATTACAACAAGAGTTTATATTACCGCTTATGAAATAATGTAAGATAATATAAATCATCCATACACTCATGGCGGTATATTGACAAAAATGTTCTTTACCTTCCGTGCTAGTCGAAACTGTGTTACGCAAGGTAAGATTCTCACTCAAACAAATATATTATTTACGAATTAGTCATAAGGATTAATATTATAGACTAATTTTGAATAAAAAACACAAAAGAAAAGTGAACAAAAGATGCTAATGATTGCCGAGTTTAGCGTAAACAACACAGTTCATATAAAGAAATCAGAAGCGTAATATATATATATATATGCATATGCTGCTCCTCAATCACGCCCACCATTAACTGTTCTGTTGTGATCACCACTAATTACTTTTCTGGCTCTAACAGATTTTATATCCTCTGGTTGTGGCGCGTACCTTCTCAGTATGGCGAAGATAAACAGGAGTTTCATCTGCCTCATGGTAGAATCTACACTCTGTATTCTCTCTGTCCAATATTTGACTTGTGTTTGGTTAAGCCACAATGGTTGCAGTTAACCTGGCACTTTGTATAAATTCGCTTAGAAAATTTAAGTTAACTACTCTACAGTTGTATTTTTTTTTTAGTGGAAGCAATAATAGACTCCCGGACAGATTCAGAATATGTTGTGCCGTCTCACCTACAATTGCAGAAATATATGATATTGGAACAGATTGAAATCATATTAGAAAAACAGCTGTACGAACCTAAGAAAAGGGTTGGTGGTAACAGGTAAGATACATCAAATTATTCCCTTGTTACATTCCGCTTGGCTATCAACTCTCAAGGTGTCTAATTCGAAAGTTAGTCTGATATTCAAGCAATATATGGTTTGTTGGAGTATTTAGTTTTAACGGCTTTTTTGTCGTGCCATCTGTGAGAAAGTGTTCCTTGCATGGGTTGATTTTTTAATTATTTTCCTTTTTATTTTTCAGCGCAACGACATTAGAAACAAAGTTCTGTGACACTGGTACATCTAAGAACACAATACATAATACCATAGACAATAAAGTCACAGTGACTAAACCCATGGACAAGATGGACATAGCGAAAAATATCAAAGTTGAAAAAGACATTCTGGAAATTGCGCCGAGTTCCTCAAATGTAACAACCGAAAATAAGAAAATAATTAGTAGTTCGAACGCTTTATATGGCATGAACAAAGCAGGGGATTGCTCTACAAATTTGAAAACAGAAGTGAAGACAGAAAGAAGCTCTTCTCCAAATGAAATTCCTACCCTTTTGAAGAACCAAACTGGTGGTAAGCAACACGCTTATCCACAGCAGTTACAGCGTCACTCAGATATTTAAATCGCAAAGATCTGAAGGGCAGACATAAGTTGACAAGTCTCATATGTCTTAACGGGTTATGGAAAAATTTCCATTTTGAAAAAATCATATTTTTCAGAAACAAATATTTTTCTGGATATTTGTCACACGGACTTATATATTTCATAAACTGGATCGCGCACTTCGATATACCAATATTACAAATTTACACCTTATTGGGTTATGTTGAGGTTTATTTTAAGTAAAAGTAAAAAATCGAGCTACGTGAGATAGCTCAAAGTAGTGGTCTGTCCTTGTCTAACATGTTGTCAACGCTAAATAAAATCATCTTAGGTAGTGGCTATTCTATTAACTTTTTAAAATTTTGGTTAAATATTATTAGTTTAAAGGTAATATGCTTTTACTGTAATAATACAAAAAAATATGTATCTACAATGCAACCTTCTATTATGAAGTAGCATATCAAATAAGTATACTAATTGGTATTATGAAATAATATTAGTAGTTTTAGTTATACATAAGCGGCCATATTTAAAAAAGTTAAGAACAATATGGCTGGCTGAAGTATGAATGAACACCCTATTAGAAAGAGACGCATTACTACTTTGAAGCCTCTCACTCGGCTCGTTTTATTAACTTAGTGCGCGGCCCAGTTTAATATACAAGTCCGTGATTTGTCATTTTCTACATTTGACGATGACGTCTGTCAAAAGATGAAGTTAGTGAACGAAAATGATGGAGCCATTAAAAAGGCTTTTTTCGTTTTTTTGTGAAATCATTCTATATCTCGATTTACTCTAAATGGCTTTGGCTTAAACAAGTTTATTTTATAATTCACGCTAAATAAAACTTCAAATGATATTTCTAAACGTAGAACATGATATGAGCCTTCGATATTATATTATTTGAATTTTTCCGGAAAGAATTTTTAATATGTGATTTTTTTCCGGAAAATTACCCAACAGTACATGCGTCTGTGATTTCACCAAAGTTGATATGGCTGGCACATTATTATTAATATATTTATTAGTTTTTTGTAATGATTTTGTATATCCAGAATTAGATTACATGAGAACAACGAATGCTTTAATTTTGGGGAAAAAGGTCGATTTCGGCAGTGGGGCAATTTTAATATTTTTTCCAGAGAAGGAATTATTCCCGAAATCCCCCTGATGATGGGGACATCAGGGGGATTTCGGGAATAATTCCTAATCTTTTCTTATAGTGTCGACGGCATACACTACACTATTATGACCCAGAATTCGGCCACAACGACCGCGTCACTAGCAACCGCCATTAAATCCAAGCGTGCAGGTGTTAAGGCGTACAAACAATCTAGAGGGTCTGGTCCCGTTATCCGTCCGCAATCTGTCCGAAACAATTACTGTCAAATAAGTACTACGCGACTAAATCAAAAGACAATGTAACAAGTATGAAGCTTCATTTGCATCATGCGTCTTATAACTTCGAGTCTTCGAGTTATAAGGTCGAGTTTTTTTCTTATGATACCAAATGGCGGGACGAACAAATCGTGCGCCACTCAGAGCTTTAGATCACAAAGATCTGAGTGGTACTGCCACTGCGCCCGACACATAAGTTGACAAGTCCCATGTGCCTGTAATTTCAACAGCACCCTTCGAAACCGGAACGCTTGGCGGCAGAAATAGGTAAGGTGGCAGTATTTCCCTGGACAAACTCTTTCACAAGGTACTCTATTGCTCCAAATTATTACTAGTATTACATCTATTTGACAGTAATTATTTCTGACAGATGTCGGACGGAGAGTAGACGCCCAGATTAGGATCGTTCTAAAATCCCCACTGAACAAATTGGCCTTACTCCGACCAACATGATTCCGAAGACTATTTAAAGATTTCTCAGACGGCGGGACAAAGGTGGATGGGAGTCTTTCGCGCCAAAGGTTGCACCTCTTCTGAGCTGGTTCAATGCTCAGAGGATAGACACATTTGACGAAACCTTCTATAAACATTCTGTTAGAATAGAATAGACATTTATTGCAACGCCACAACACATAGATACGTGTACGCAAAAGGATTTCATTTAGCATAAGCCACAGCCATAATTGACTGTGGCGCTGGTTTTCAATGAGCCCTGCCCCCATAGCATATAGTCGCGACGCGCGCGATAAAATTGAGATAACCGCGCGCTATTGGCTGTCTCAATCAGATCTAATTTAGATAGCCAATGGGGCGCGCTTATTATAATTTTATCGCGCGTGTCGCGACTGTCATGCGTAGCCATGCTACGTGGGCTGGTTCTTTTATTTAAAACTATATTTTTTTTAGATTTAGATTACCGCCCCATAGTCGCCCCTACGCGTCGCGCCGAGGATTATCTAAAAGTAGTGCGCCCCCGCGGCAAAATGGCGGAGAAACACGCGGCCAGCGCCCCCTATCACATATTCTACACTACCATCAACGATGCAAAGGAAACACATAGTCAACCATACTCCATTACTTTTTTGGGTAAGTTCATTTAGAGACTCACCACATTTATTCACGCGGAATCGCCTTGGGCCGATCAGAAAAACCTTTATGTCCATGCAGTAAGAGCGATAAAGACGTTACGCCTTTCGCTTCCGGTCTGAAGTCTTAGACAATGGCACACGTTCCCAATCTATTCCATTAGAATAAACGTAAACGATAATAGATTGGAAGCCAAAGTTACAAGAGCCTGACGTACGCTCATGCTAGTGGTTAATTCGATAACAATCAAAATAATTGTCTATGGTTTCGTTGGTAAACGTCACGTTGAGTGTGACAAGTGATCGACGTTCATGGCGAAACGCGCGGGATTGAAGTCTTTTTAAAGTGTGTTATAATTATTAATACGAAATCGAATACTTAGAAAAAAATACTTTGATCCGGCCGGATTCAAACCGACGTCTTCTAGCAAACCGTGTCAGACGCTATGCCAACTAAGCCACGTAACGAACGAGTGGGTAAGAGCCGAATCTGGTTTCTATCGACTTTTTAGCCGTAGCGCCATCTATGCTAAATCTATGAAAGTATTTCGTCACCCAGTTAGGCACTTTTACAGCTACCAGCTCTGCCAGCCCTCTTTTTAAAGTAGTTATAAGTGGAAAGTGGTTTCAAGTATTGTTTATATATTTTAAAGTGGTTAGTGAAATATCTACAGAAACATTTGTTATTTAGCTCTTTTATGATTGAAAATGAAGTGAGTTAAATTACACATGCACACATTACACAGGCACATGGGGCTTGTCAACTTTTGTCGCAGGGTGATGGGTGTAGCGGCAGTGCCCCCCCAGATCTTTTAAAGCTCTGAGTGGCACTGCAACTGTTACGGACAGGCGTGTAGCTGTTACCTTAACTGTCATTCCTGCCGCACCGCACGGCTACCTCAGGAACCGACTCAGTTAATAGGCCTGTAATTTCTGTTATTTCTTTTCAGAAATTCTGGACTCCAGTTTAGGGGAGCTTAGATGTTCGCTACAAATTAATTTCATGGTGGAAATATCGTGGCTTCTGGCGCAGTATTACTTTGCTGGTTACAGGTATACAACAACATCAACCTATTTATACGTCCCACTGATGGGCAAGGGTCTCCTCTCAAGCGAGGGTTTAGGCCATAGATCGCCACGCTGACCCAGTGCGGGTTGGGGATGCTTCACACGGTTTCCGAAGGTTGTGAACCTTTTTCGACGTGTAGGTCTCGTCACGAAAATCTCATGGCGAAGGATGGTGACCATTACCCGGGCCTAGGGCGGCCAGATTTTAGGGGCGCCCAATCGTGACAAAAA